TCAGCTTCAGATATTTGGAAATTTTTTGTTTTTGATTCTAGGCCCATAATTCATCAACATACTATTTTCTTGATGTATAATAAGAGCATAATTCTAGGGTTTCGTTGCCAACTTAGGTAACATTATCAGCACTGAATGAGTGGAACAGATCAGCGTTTTGACTCATTCGTCTTGATTACGTTGCTGGTGCTTATTTAGATCTTCAATGCACGGAGGTGTTCATAACGGGCAGTCCGTTGTTTGGGCAGATCCTCAACCACTTCGTGCCATTTTCGTTGAAATTGCTAGGTCGTTCTTTCCTTTTCATTTACTGATCCTAATGCATATAGCAATTGCCGATTAGAATGATAGATTCCGTAGTCGGCACATCGTACAGTGCATCTTTCACTTGCTCCAAGAAGGGTTAATGTTCTCTCTCCAAACTGGGCGCATTTACCTGTAACAGCATCAGAACTTTAGTCTGTTGTAACTCCTATCGGAGGATGCCACTCTTCTGCTGACAGGCCTACATTCAATGATTCTGTCAGTTGTTCTGTTCTATCAGAACAGCAACACTACGCTGACCGCGCAACGTGATGTCGATTGCTGAGTAGAGCAGCTTTCACCAGCAAATGTTCAGAATTCCAGAGCCTTGGTGCTGCGCTGACGAAAGTACAACCATGTCGAATTGGTACCTTGCTGCCGCATCAGCTAGCTCAACCTTTTTTTCTGAGTGCGGAGATGTTCCAATTTGGGTATCTTTGTCGTGGAACCTCATTTGACTTGCTATAATAGCATCGCGTTGTCTGACTCCTCCGTTCAGAACGGATAGCAGCTCCGTTGTTGCCTGGTATTTTCGTTGTCGTTTTGTCGATCTTCTGCAATTGTCCCCTTGCTGCTAGAAGGCAAGTTCTGAACGTCGACTTTTATCAGTCTGCGTCAGTTTCCCAAGAGCCTGCGCGGCCCCTGGTAATCCGGGCCACGAACGAGCCAGTATGATGCTCGATTATGGCAATATCATGAAGGACAAGTTTCTAAGTTTTACGGGAGGTCTCGTCACGGTCCCCAGCTCTCCTTTTTCTCACCTGAAATTAGGACCGGCCGCGGATGAATTTAAAAATGTCCCATCATTGTTTTGTTTTGAATTTTAGCCATGGATCAAGAAAATGGTTCCTGTAGATATGTATGTTCTGTACTTTAAGTCAGCTGAGGAAATGATTAAACCAGTTGAAATTTAACATTCTACACAGACGTTAATCGCGTGAGCATAAACGTGCGCTTGCATTAGAGATATTGTAGCTTAACCGCAGTTCTGAAAACGTACTGTCTTGAGTAATTGTAGACTGCTTTTGTCTAGAAAGACCCTTTTATCAAGCGTTATGAAACTGCTGAGGTGAACGTTGTCGTTTGGTTCCAGTCCGTCATGCGAAGCACCTCGCTGGCACAGAATCTTCCGTAATTAGACGTGACCGGCTCATGCCGCTACGAACTTCGGTGTGCCCGGTGATTTGTGCCATTAGTATCGTGGCACAATGGCTTAGCCTCTGCATTGTTCCGTTGCCAGCATTTGAATTATAATGTTCATATTTCTATTCGACAGCATCACGTGATATTACTCACTTAGTTTCTTTCGGTGCAAAAGTATGCGTCGCTTTTTCCGACCGACTAATTCGGACTTTCGCTGGTTGGATGTCAACAGTTACCGATTACGTTACGTGACGTTTTATTTTTTTTACCAGTTGACGTTTCAAAATCATTCACGTTCACGCAAAACTGGACATTTTATTAATTACATTTTGTTTTTAACACACATGACTCATGCGGATTTAAGTTCAAACGCTGTTCTGTGTTGTGTACGGTACTTGAAGAACGAAAAGACGTTACATCCGTTGATATTCTATTCGTTCATCTTTGATTTGGAAGTAAACGGTTTGATCTTTCAGCGAAGCTTTGAATCGACCCGTTGTTTTATCCTCTGCTAAGGTGATTGTGTCTGTAATAACTTTTGACCAGCAGTAGCGCAGCAAGCCGTTGACTTTGCTTTTGTAAATTTTGCTTCTCGAGTCGCCACTAATGCGATTCGCCGCAAAGATCGCCGTGTTGTGTTCCGTCACGAAGCGCTTCAGCTTTCGACAGTGGTCACCCTGCTTCGCTGTCAGATGATCAATATCCAGCCAGCAAAACGTAGTCACATCGTCGATCAGCAAGACACGGGCTAGGTTAGGGTGCGCGAAAGTGATGTGTTCGAGGCGGGCCAAACCTCGCGTAAACTCGTCGCTGTCTAACACCTCCATATACTGGAAGCGTGACAGACACGTCATCACGATTTTTTCCAGCAGACCATATTTTGATGAGCCCGCTTTCTTTTTTACCGTAGCTTCAAGCATTTCGATAAAAGTCAGCCATGGGAAACTTTTCCCGCACGCAATAAACACTACTCCGATCTCTAAGCCCCCATTTTGTTTGTCCAGTATACATTCTTTCGCAATATCCAGCAGAAACAGCGTTTTGCCAGAACCACTTTCGCCTGATACTTGGTATATCTCGCCTGGTTTCACTGGTTTTTTGAACAATGGAATCGATAGAGTCAGTACGACTTTTGCGCTCAGCCTCGTAAACGCCTAGTCGGAAATAAATGAACATGTTTCTTGTATTATTCAAATACATACGAAAGAGTATTACCTCGGCCGCGGTTTCAGTACTGTACTTTGAACACATTGTTAATGCAACGAATCGACGTTTGTTCTACTGTCACAGCGTCACGTAAGAAAATATCGAACTGTGGTCTTTAGTTGGTCTGTAAGCAAGCAGCACATCAATGTATTGAAAGAAGCGAACTAAGGCATCCCAGTGATCACGTTTTCACACTTTCAAATGTCTGCGATCATGCTACACAGGATTTCCGCTTTTAAATACGTCTTTCTCACAGGAGCAAGCGTCACCCACAAATAAACTTAAGAACCATACTATTATAATTAATTCAGGCATTTGGGTCCATAAAGAAGCAGAAAATTTTTATCGAAAAACATACATATGCCATCTCATAGCAACCAAAGCTTTAAACTGCATGAGGAGGACGAAGACAGAAGCTCTAAATCGCAGAAGCAATGTTTCAGTGCCAACTGATCCTCAAATCAATAAATCGGCCACCGAACTTCCGAATTTCATGATTGGACGAGAGTAAAGACGGAAATACAGACCATCACCCTAAAAAGCCGCATTCGGCTGCACTGGCGTCGTAGAGGCTGCAAGTAAGCTATACGAACTAATTCAGAATTTGGCGTGGTAAGGAAATACGATCAGCGAATCTATATGCTATGCTGCCAGCGGTGGTCTGATACCGAACCTTGCGACTCGCCTTGTTCGATGAAAAGACTGCTTTGAAACCCACCTTCAGAAGTCTCCCACTAACATGCGGCACCTGAGAAAGTTGGCCAGCGCAGTGCCACCCCTCGCCCTCTGTGGATCATCCTCAAATGCAAACATGCGGGCTATTGTCAAAGCGCGGAGGGAAAACAGCCTTTGGTGAGCATGGCCTGACAGCAAAGATATATCAAGAAACTCGT